ATTTCTGAATTTCCGAATTTCCGAATTTCTGATTTTCTGAATCTCTGAATTTCTGAATTTCTGAATCTCTGAATTTCTGAATTTCTGAATTTCCGAATTTCCGAATTTCTGAATTTCTGAATTTCCGAATTTCTGAATTTCTGAATTTCTGAATTTCTGAATTTCTGAATTTCTGAATTTCTGAATTTCTGAATTTCTGAATTTCTGAATTTCTGAATTTTTGAATTTCTGAATTTCTGAATTTCTGAATTTCTGAATATCTGAATATCTGAATTTCTGAATTTCTGAATTTCTGAATTTCTGAATTTTTGAATTTCTGAATCTCTGAATTTCTGAATTTCTGAATTTCTGAATCTCTGAATTTCTGAATTTCTGAATTTCTGAATTTCTGAATTTCTGAATTTCTGAATTTCTGAATTTCTGAATTTCTGAATTTCTGATTTTCTGAATCTCTGAATTTCTGAATTTCTGAATTTCCGAATTTCTGAATTTCTGAATTTCTGAATTTCTGAATTTCCGAATTTCCGAATTTCTGATTTTCTGAATCTCTGAATTTCTGAATTTCTGAATCTCTGAATTTCTGAATTTCTGAATTTCTGAATTTTTGAATTTCTGAATTTTTGAATTTCTGAATTTTTGAATTTCTGAATTTCTGAATTTCTGAATTTCTGAATTTCTGAATTTCTGAATTTCTGAATTTCTGAATTTCTGATTTTCTGAATTTCTGAATTTCTGGAATTTTGAATTTCTGGATTTTTGAATTTTCAGGGGTCCCTTCGAAATTCCCAATCGACTCTTATCACATTTTCATTGAAGATCGAACGGATGATAAAGTTACAGAAAAGTTTATGGAGAAATTTCAACATATCGTAAGGTTAGGGTGGCCTTGCTTTTTCTAGGCCAGCAAACCATTATCTAAAAATTTTAGACTACCGATGAAGCTACAGGAACCACAACTCATTTTGTAGTTCGAACTGAAAATGGTGGCGTTTTCTCGACGGATTCTTTAGATTTACTAGTTTGGATTCTGAGTGGAGTCATCATTGTGAAAGACACATGGATGACAGAATGTCTGAAAAATCCGAAACAGATCTGTAATGAATGGGAGTTTTTGGTGGAAAAGATACGGTACAAGGGTACGGTATACGATACAGTACCCCAGTGGCAACAGGCAATGGCTAAAGCGACGATGCCGTACTTGTGTGGAGTCTATGTGGCGGTGGTTATTCAGGATTATCCGAATTGTGGGTTTTTGGGAAATTCGGAATTCTGAAAATTTTGAAAATTGAAAATCCGGCGCTTTAAACAGCAGGCTGGTGCGCCTTCGGCGCTATACCTGAAAATTTCGAAAAATTTCTTTTTTAGAATTCAGATTTTTTAAAAAGAAATACGATTTTAGAATATTTGGAAGATTGCATAAATACATTCATCTGGAATTCCTAAATTTCCAAACCCCCTAAAATTAAAAAATCCTAGAAAAAATTTCAGTGATTTCTCTGGCTTCAATCGTCGCCGCTCATGGAGGTGTGATTTGTGAAAAATTTCCGGAAAAACAGAATTTCAATTCCGGATTTCGACCATATCTTCATGTCGAAACAGGCCCATTTTTCGTGATTCACGATCGAAAAGTTTGTGACATTTTATGAAATTTTCTGATTTTTGACATTTGATTCGTTTGCTATCAGCTTCTGAATTCTCATATAGGTTTTTTATGAACTTTCAGCTGTTTTTCACATGAAGTGATATCATCAAAAATTACGAAAAAAAATTTCAGATCGATTTGGAAATCTACAAAAATGATCCAGATGGAATGTATTCTGTGATGACGGAAACGGAATTTGTGCATTTCATGCTTGGAAGAAAAATCAAACGAAACAAGAGTCATAATCCAATCCCAGCCTTGAATGATCTAGAAGATTAATATTTTAAAAATAAATAAAAACTGTTTTTTGTTTTTTTTTTTGCAAGAACTTCGGAAATTCAGAATATCCAAAAAATGCAGAAATTCTGCATTTCTGAGATTTAGAGGTTCAGAAATTGGAGAATTCAGAAATTCGGAAATTCAGACGCTCATATTCAGAAACTCGGAAATTCAGAAATTCAGAAATTCAGAAATTCAGAAATTCAGAAATTCAGAAATTCAGAAATTCAGAAATTCAGAAATTCAGAAATTCAGAAATTCAGAAATTCAGAAATTCAGAAATTCAGAAATTCAGAAATTCAGAAATTCAGAAATTCAGAAATTCAGAGATTCAGAAAATCAGAAATTCGGAAATTCGGAAATTCAGAAATTCAGAAATTCAGAGATTCAGAAATTCAGAAATTCAGAGATTCAGAAAATCAGAAATTCGGAAATTCGGAAATTCAGAAATTCAGAAATTCAGAAATTCAGAAATTCGGAAATTCAGAAATTCAGAAATTCAGAGATTCAGAAAATCAGAAATTCAGAAATTCAGAAATTCAGAAATTCAGAAATTCAGAAATTCAGAAATTCAGAAATTCAGAAATTCAGAAATTCAGAAATTCAGAAATTCAGAAATTCAGAAATTCAGAAATTCAGAAATTCAGAAATTCAGAAATTCAGAAATTCAGAAATTCAGAAATTCAGAAATTCAGAAATTCGGAAATTCAGAAATTCAGAAATTCGGAAATTCGGAAATTCAGAAATTCAGAAATTCAGAGATTCAGAAATTCAGAAATTCAGAGATTCAGAAAATCAGAAATTCGGAAATTCGGAAATTCAGAAATTCAGAGATTCAGAAAATCAGAAATTCAGAAATTCAGAAATTCAGAAATTCAGAAATTCAGAAATTCGGAAATTCAGAAATTCAGAAATTCAGAAATTCAGAAATTCAGAAATTCAGAAATTCGGAAATTCAGAAATTCAGAAATTCGGAAATTCAGAGATTCAGAAATTCAGAAA